TGGGCCAAATTCAGCCCGTGGTTACAGTCAGCCCGCTTGTGGTCCATTAATCTGTTGGGCCATTTTCATAGCGTCATCAAATACGGCTGATTAACGATGGCCCGTTATGGTCGGCCCATGAACGGACGATTCCGACTCTAGCCCGTTTACGACCCATAATGTGGTACTTTATTGGCCCATGTTTGGCCAATCGATCATACGACCCATAGAAGGCCTATTGATGCTACATCGTGTAGAAGGCCCATTGTTTCTACGGCCCATAGAAGGCCCATTGTTTTTACGGCCCGTAGGAGGCCTATGGTCACTAAAGTAAATATGTTGTCCATGGTTATTGTGGCCTAGTAAGGAAATAAATAAGCAAGCAACTTACTCTAGGCTATCACGGCTATTACACATATTACATCCACTAGGCATCAAAGTTCGCTACCAGTGCAAATATAGGAAACAAAGCAGCATATCACATACACTGGTTGTCAAAGTTGGCGACCAGTGAAAATAAACGTGGCAGGAAAACAAGTCCAAAACTGAAACCACTTCAGAAGACTCAAGAAACAGTATTCCGGGTACCCATAATGCTAGCAAGACGCTTAGCAAGCTTATTAATTTTCTCTTGTTTGGCGCTTAAATCCTTCAACGCTTGCTGTTGCACGAGAAAGTATGCATCTGAATTCTACAGGGACTTCCTTAGTCCTTCGGCCTCCTATCGCAGAACATCTGATCGATGTCTTTCAACTTGAAGTTGAGACTCAAGAAGCCGAACCGATTCAGGCAACAAGTTTAAAGAGCTGGTGCGAGCAGTAGTGGCTAGTATCTCGAACACTACATCAAGACAGGACTTTAGCGAAATCACTAGTTAAGGAGTACTCGTTGCGAGGATCATTCCAATTCTTCAGGTTGCGACAACCTGGGGGTTTTCCTTTTTTTTCATAGATCTATTTATATAAAACATTTTATCTCTTAAACCGTGCGTCCAAATCTCGAACCGCTTTCACCGTTGGATTCCTCGCGTCTAGATCTTCAAAAACTAGATCCCATGTTGATAGGTTTTGACAAACTTTTTTTCAGGAAAAAAAAATGGACGGAAAAACCAAACCGGGAGCACGGGTTTTTCCCTTTTCGAAAGAGGCACGCCCGTGCCTCTGACGAAATCACAACCGTGCCTCTCACGGAAGCAAAACCATGACTCTGGCGAAAGAAAAAAAATGAGAGTCATCGAAAGAGGACTGTACGTGGAGAGGCTGACAGTGGGGACACACCAGGTCCATGGACGCACGCATGGAACCGCCTCCTTATTACGCGAAAATAAAATTATTCCTCCCCTTGAAAGCTGGGACCCACCACGTATATCTTCACACGGAAGGAAGTGCCTCCATATTCCTGCCACTGACAGCTGGGACCCACCAGCTACATGTTCGCACGCGGAAGTGTGTCCATATTACGAAAAAAATGATTCTTCCCCGTGACAGCTGGGACCCACCAGCTATATCTTTGCATGCAAGGAAGTGCCTCCTTACCTCCTTGACAGTTGGGACCCACCCGGTCGAATCGTACGTAGGATTGTCTGTCTGGTCGCGAACGTGTATGTACATACTGGTCGATTGGTCTGTCTGCAGGCTGCAGCGATGAACCGTGGTCGAGTAAGGAAGGGCATGTGTCATAATAGAGGCGCGGACTGGCATGTCACGCAGTCCCGTCTAATCGTGTACACATACATACAACCAGGGTGCAAGAAAGTAAATACGGCCATGTACGTACATACGTGCGGGGTCTTGAACGCGTACTCGCGCATATGTACGACCAGGGCTCGTGTACATGGAGAGGCAGCGGAGAGCAGCGACGACGTCCTGTTCATCGGCAGCCAACCGGCTAGGTCAGAATGGAGAAACTGTGTCGTGTTCATTGGGAAGCAACGGAATGCATCATGTTCATCGAGAGCCAACTGGCTTGGACGGAGCAGCCGAAACGAGGCCTGTCGTACCGCAGAACCGAGGAAACGGCCTTCTGTTTGACCGCCTACGGTCAAAACAGGATCCTGTTCACCGGGAGGGGTTTAGCGTACCATAAAACGGAGGAAACAGACTTCTCTTTGACCTCCTACGGTCGAAACGGGGTCTTGTTGATCGGGAGGGGTGTGGCATACCGCAAAATGGAGGAAACGAACTTCTCTGTTACCTCCTACGGTCGAAATGGGGTCCTGTTGATCGGGAGGGGTGTGGCATACCGCAAAACGGAGGAAACAGACTTCTCTTCGACCTCCTACGGCCGAAACAGGGGTCTTGTTCATCGGGAGGGTGTGGCGTACTGCAAAATGGGACTCCATGGGCTACTGTTCCACCGTCTACTGCCTCGCTCCAGCCTTAACGGGCTACTGTTCATCCACCATCGACGTCATCCAGCCTCCACCAGCGACTGTTCATCCATGGCGTCTTCCTACTACCTCCACCAGCTACTGTTTATCCATGGGCTCCTGTTCATCCAGCCTCCACCGGCTACTGTTCAACCAACCCTCCATGGGCTACTGTTCATCTAGCCCTCCACCGGCTACTGTTCAACCAGCCCTCCACGGGGTCCTATTCATCCACCCCCAACCGGCTCGATCGGGGTCTTGTTCATCCAGCGACAACGACCTCTACTACCACGGGGCCTTGTTCATCCAACCCCCATCACGAACTGTTCATCCAACCCCCAACAACGCTCACTGTTCATCAAGAGGCAGCAGGTTCGATCGACTTCAGTTAGCAGCAGTAGCGAAGGAATCGCTCGATCGGTTCAGTTAACGGCCAGGGATCGATCGATCGCTTGGGTTCAGTAACGCGTAGCCAGTGCAATCGCTCGGGTTCAGTTAGAGCCCAACGCCTCGCACCCATGCGCGTACGTGTACGAGAGAAACACGCAATCCCTCCGTTCATCGCTCGGACCCGACCACCCACCGTAACTGGGAACTCCCTGATATTTTCCTCGCCCTCACTTCTACCACGGTCTTTTCCGTCATGGTCGGCCCAAAAAATGTCATGTAGCTGCATCTCCGGCCCGCCCAGTATGAAAAACCCATTTTATATCATGATTTTTTGTCATAGAAGTAGGAGCCCACCTGGTTTTGTCACAATTATCGTCATAGAAGTGTCATGCGCATGGCAGAAAAAAAATTCGTTCTGCCCAAAATGTCACGGATGTGCCTTTTTTTGTAGTGTTGATGAGAGCAACAAACGCAAGCGAACTATTGATTTGGATGATGACGAGGAGGAGGCATCAAGTGATGACGACAAGAGAAGCCCTACACCAAACTCAATTTCATACTCCAAGCCAAAAAGACTGGATGGATGCAAGAAAGACGCAAAAGAAAAGAAGAAGAGGAAAGGAAATGACGAGCTCAAAAATGCTATGGAAGCTATTATGAAGGCAAGAAAGGAAGCAAACGAGGTGAGGAAGATGGCAAGGAACTAAGATGCCGCGACCGAGGAGAGGAGGTTGGCGGCTGAGGAGAGGAGGGTGGCAGCCGAGGAGAGAAGGTGGCATTGGAGGAGATGAAGGTGGCCATGGAGGAGCGAGCTAGGTTGTTGGAATGGGAGAAGTACTTGTTCTTCATAGACACATCTACTCTGGATGAGAAGCAAAGGAGTACGTCAATCTTGCCCGCGAAGAAGTCTTGGTCCAAAAAAGAGCCATGGTTGGCGGTGGCATGGGTGGCATGGGAGGCGGTGGCATTAGCGGCATGGGAGGCAGTGGCATTGGCAGCCTGGGAAGCATTGGTGGCTTTGGAGTTACCATGGGCGAAATGAGTGGCATGGGTGGCTTCAGAGCTATCATGGGAGGCATGGGTGGCTTCGGAGCTACCATGGGAGGCATGAGCTTTGCGTCTCTCATGGGAGGCATGGGAGCACCTCCGGGCGGCATGGGCGAAATGTCTCCTGGTGTGCCTCATCACACACCTTCCGTTGAAGATCTTGCCAACACCTTCTGAGCTCCACATGATGATGCGGCGTGCGACAATGAAGAGGAGGAGGAAGAATCGTCTTTGGATGACAAAGATGAATCGGAGGAAGAGGAGGACGAAGACGAGGATGATGCATGATTATTGAGATGTGCCATTCGTTTTTGTGAACTTTGTCATGAACTTCGTTGGGATTTTGAACTTGGTTGGATCATGTTGTGGGTATGAATTTGAACTTTTATGTCATGAATTTGTTTGGGTTTAATGTCTTTGTTTTCATGTTTCAAACATCATTATCTCCAAAACTCTACATATGGCAAGTGCCGGCTGCTCGCGCGCGCTGCAATTTAACGCGTCTGCTGGAGCGGCTTGCATGCGCTAAATTTTGCAGGGGCCGCTGGAGCAAGCGCGCCACGTCGCGTAAAAACAGGCGACCTGCGTGCTGCAAAAGGTTTTTTAGAGCGCCGCGCTAGCGCGGTTATTGGAGATGCTCTAACGACCTTAATAGCACTAGAAACATCATCGATCCCTGCAGAGAGAAACCCGGAATTGAGCCGGCTCACCGTGCCCCATCATCAGGCGTCGCGTCGGCTATTTGCCTCCCGCGGGCATCAAATAGATTTGACCCCACGAGTCGGCATACTGCGGCCCATTTATTTTTAATATTATGTTTATACATAGAAAAAAACAGTCCAAAAAACCTAAAAAATACCATTAGGCCGAAAAGCACACGGGCCAAACATGCCGCGGGCTGGCCTGTTTACCCTAAAGGGGCCGTGCCTGGCGCGCTTAACTGGCCGTGCCATGTCGGCCCAGGTGGCCAGGTTTGACTGCCACCCTGTCTCAAAAAAAAAAAAAGAAGCAAACTACCACCCTTCCCCCTGAAAAACAAAACCACCAAAAAGAAAAGAAAACTACCACCCAAAAAGAATCACACTGCGCGAACCGTATCCAGCCATCCAGCGTCTTCTCCGCCCAAAGCCAACAAATTTCTTCTGCCGTCGCATTTCAAAAACCCAAATCCCCAAACCCTCGCAGCCGGTTCCGTCAGCGGCGGCCACCTGCCCCCATGGACGGCGGTGACCACGGGCACCGGTGCAGGTGTCCCCATGGACCGCGGTGCACTTGCGGACCGCGCCATGGAGGCCTCGCGGCGGCGGCCCTGGACCCCCGTGTGCGGGCCTTCCCCATGGACGCCGCGACGCAGGCCATGTATCGGGAGCACGGCATGGACCCGGTCACCCTCGAGTCCGACGTCACCACCGCCATGACCTTCCTCCACTATGTCCTCCCCAAGCCTTCCCTCTCCAACCGCGCCGCCCTCTCCGCCGCCTTTCTCCCGCCCCAGGACGACGGCGGCGTCGACCGCATCAGCGGCATCCCCGAGGAGCTCCTCCGCAACATCGTCTCCCGCCTCCCCGCCAAGGACGGCGCGCGCACCGCCGCGCTGTCCTGCCGCTGGCGCCGGGTCTGGCTCTCCACCCCGCTCGTCCTCGTCGACGCCGACCTCCTCCCCGCCGGATGCGGCTCCAGCCTGCGGGTCGAGCGCGCCCACGCGCAGCGCGTCGAGTCCGCCATCACCCGCATCCTCGAGGCGCACCCGGGGCCCTTCCGCTTCGTCCACCTCATCTCATGCCACATGCAGGAGACCCCCGGCCTGCTCGCGCGCTGGCTCCAGCTCCTCGCCGTCAAGGGCATCCGGGAGCTCATGCTCGTCAACCGCCCGTGGCCGCTCGACATGGCCCTCCCCGCCACCTTCTTCGGCATGGCGACCCTCACCCGCCTGTACCTTGGCACCCTTGCCTTCCCTAACACGGCCGACCTCCCGCGCGGAGTGTCATTCCCACACCTCCGCGAGCTGGGCCTCTTGGGCATGGCCATTATGAACCGGGACATGGACTTCGTCCTCGCCAGGAGCCCTGTGCTGGAGATCCTCTGCATCCAAGCCAACGTTCTGCTCAAGTGGCTCAGCCTCGTCAGCCGCAGCCTCCGGTGCGTGCAGATCATAGAAGGCATCGATCTGAATATCGTCGTCAAGAACGCCCCTAGCCTTGAGAGGGTCATCATCTGGACATCATCGGCCCGCGATGGCCTGCACAGGATGGTCAAGATCGGCCATGCCCCTGCGCTGAGCTTACTTGGCTACTTGGAGCCGGCACGACACCTGCTAGAGATCGGCAACACCATCATCAAGGTGCAAATGGCTCTCACAAGTTTCCATTTGTTCGATATCTATGCCAATGGGTGAACTTTTCTCACAAAACTGGTGCATTGCAGGCTGGGACGAAGGCAAGCCCAAACACCACGGTCCCGAGCGTTAAGATCCTCAGCTTAAGAGTGTGCTTTGGTGTCCGCAACGATGCTAAGATGCTGCCGAGCTTCCTCAGATGCTTTCCCAACGTCGAGAGGCTACATCTCGAGGTGAGAGTGAGACCCCCTATCGCATCACCCCTGTATCTGTAATTCTGTATGTGTCGTGGATGCATCATTGTGGAGCTGAATAAGTATTTACTGATTTCACCAATTTACAGTCCAATGAGACTGATGAGCCCACAGGCAAGCTCACACCTTAAGCTGATGGTCTTCTACGCCTTCCGAGGGGAGCGTGGCGAGCTCTCCTTCCTCAAGTTCGTCCTGGAGAGCGCTCGGATGCTGACGAAGCTGGTGATTGTGTTCTGCAAAGGGAGCTTCACTTCCATGGACGAGGCCAACTCCAAAGTGAAACCTCTGTTCGACGCAAGATGGGCCAGCCGAGGCTGTTCGCTGGTGCTCTTCGAGAGTCCACTCGTAACGGGAGATGACAAGTGGGTGCTGAACTTCGAGAGAGGATCTGATTTCTCTACCACGGACCCGTTCGCGTGCACTGCTGCTCTTCAGGGCTGCGTCGTCTGAGGAGAAGGCCGGTGTTAACTGAGACTTGGAGAGAGGTTTTGGTTTTTGTACGAGGGGCCCTTTTGAGTTCATCATCAGACCAAGCTTAATTTATATTACATGAACAAAAAACATGGTTTGTGCTCTGTTGCGGTGTCTACCTGCAAGGCACTGTTTTGATTCTTAAGCTTGGGTTGCTGAAACCTACAATTTCTGCTGATTGTGTTGCTGAATGCTGGCAGACAGAGATATATTCGTGGGCCATTTCATGCTTTACTAATTCACTTTAGCATATTATTCTATGAAAAGTGTGCTCTGTCTGGTGTGCCCTGGTTGATTGTGCTCGTCTGGAATGTCAATTTACCATCATAAGTCTGCTATCTTATGTTGTCTTGATGAGCAGGGATTCACAGACGAGTGGGATTTGTAGTCGAATCCCTGTCTATCTTAACTTCTGAAGGTCCTGTCCATACCACAGTAGCATATCCAATATAAGTTGATGTTTGTCACAAACAGCGGTCAAGACAGGAAGTGGCTGTTGGAACTCCTCGAGTTGGGGTACTGTGAAAAATAAGCTCAGTAGAACAAATATTCAGAGAATGATGTATGTGTAGAGATTCCATTCATAGATGTGCACGGCAAATCATTTGCATCATATGCATGAGGAATCCGGCATTGGACATCTGCAACGCCGGGTCCCTAAAATGGACACAATATTTTGTCCGCGGTCAGGTCCGCGGACAGTGATTTAAACAAATCAGACGAATTTCATGCCGGTTGATTTTCATTTAAACCGAACAACATTCTTTACATTTTCAACATCTTTCATTAAACAAAAGCTCTGGACCCTAGCCTAGTCTGAATCTTGGCTAGCACCATCCTCCACTTCCTTATTGTTCCCTTCCAAATCCATGTCAGACGGCCGTGAGCAACGCGAAGTGAAGGTGCAGTCGCCGGTGTGGAAGAGTAGGACACGGGACACACACTAACCCACATGAGATACGAGGCGCTATTGTCTCCCATGTCCTACTCCTCCCCGTCGGAGTCCGTGACCTGGGCGTTGCTGGTGGAGGTGAGGTCAACGATGGCGTGTACGGGTCGACCTCGTGGTCGTAGCCGCGAACGAGGCGCAATTGTTGGTCCAAACGATGCGCACCTGACGCGTTCTCGTCCGTGATCACCGGCGCCGCAGGGTCGCCAGTGCACCGCCGTGGCACAAAGTCCGTGTTCTCCGCGGCCATGGCCGTCACGGCCTCAGCGCTCGCGAACTCGCCGTAGATCTAGCCTTCCGCCAGCCGGTGATGCCTGAGGTCGAGGTTGTAGTGTTGCTCATCCAGCGCATGCCGAAATGCCGACATTGGCTGCTCCTCCGCAATGACGACCTCGAAGTGCGCATGCGCCTGCTTCATGTTAAGGTTGGCATGAAATGGCGCGGGTAGGGGCGTCGGCTAGTCGTCGGAGATCTCCGAGGAGCTGGTCGGCATGCCGACCTCTATCCACCTCGCACGGCAACCTACAAATCGACCGTAAGGGAGGCCAGCTCGTGCTTCTGCTTCGTCGAGAGGCTCTCCACAACGTGCTAGAGCTTGCGGTCATGACGGAGGTGGTGTGCAAAGGAGGATGTGAAGTGGACGTCGTGTGATGTGGTTTGTGCTGGGCGTGGCTTCGTTTAAATAGAAAATACCGGCAAGGCCAAACGACATGGTGTGTCAATGCGGGCGCCGGAGTGGGTAACTTGGCCGATGCACCTGTTTAATGCTAGCAGGAAACTAGACAACTGAACCGATCCACGGACCGATGGATACCATGTTGGATGGTAAAGTGCGTCGGGACAGCTACATTCTGATGGTTACGAATGGTTTGAGGGACCGCATTGGAGATGCCCTGACACATTTTCTGATGAGTTGGGATTAAGATCTGGATTCCGCATATTTGGAGTAAGGAACAGGTGCGGCGTGATGCTGCTCCATTTTTTTGGTGAGATTATGGATTACTCTGCCTTCCATTTTTGTGTGAAATATGCGAAAGTTTTTCATTGTATGTTCTTTTCTTCTTTTCATCCATTGATGGATGGCCATATGAATTTTGAGCTGGAAAACGTAAGGAAGGTCAACTGGCCTTGTACTAGTCGAAAATTTACAAATGCTCTATTCATCTTACTCGAGAATGAAAAGTGCATGCTTTTCTTCGAAGGGATGCGACTTATATTAGGGACACTACTGACAGTTGTTCATGCCCTGCATGGTCGCTGGATCGGGATCAGAAGGTAGTGAATTGACTCGTGCACTCCCCCGGAGATAATAAGCTTGGAAAAAAGAAAAAAAATCATCATTTGGAACTTTAAACTTGACACCAATTGTCATATGGAGAGCTCGAATAAAAAAATAATTGTTTTTTAGTATAATTAAAAAAAAATTATCAAATACATTTGGCAGGGCTTGACAAAATACAGTTTTGTTGCTCAACTATCTTGTCTAGGCAACAACTTATTTGTGTGTTTAAACTCGCAAGTAGCAGCAAAAAATTGAATTTGAAAAGTTCCCTATTTGGACCAAAATGTAAGGCATATTCAAACTTTTCAAATTCAGTTTTGTGAATTTGAATTCAAACCCCATTTGAAACTAGAATTCAAATCACGAACCTAAATCAAATGAATCTTTTTGTCAATTGATTCAACTAATGAGCACAACCCATTTAAAACTGAATTGAACACAAACCAACCTATCAAGTTTGCATAATTTCAAATTTGAATTCAAACCTAACTTGAACCATAACTTTCAAACCTAATTGAGTTTCAACTTGGACCTTTTCGTATATTGATTCAAATGCAGAATCCAAACTTTCCAACTATATGAGTTCAATTAAGGCCATACAAATTTGAATTCAAAATTCAAATTCGAATATGAACTTCAGTTGAATAACTTACAAACCACACACCCAGATGCAATGTTTCTTTTTGTAAACTGAATCATGCATCAACACTTAACTAGTATGTTGTTGGTGCAAGTTCTTATTTGGTTCTTATTGTTGTTCATGCAAGTTTTACCCTTTGCATGGATTATTGGTTCTTATGTAAGTATGCTTTAGCATTCAGATTGTGAGGAGGGCACCATAGGACATCATCAAAGTAAAACATACAACTCAAACTAATCATGATCATCAATCAACCCATAGGACAAAACGAATCTACTCAAACATCATAGGATGGCAACACATCATTGAATAATAATATGTGGCATTAAGGACCATGTTTAAGTAGAGATTACAACGGGGAAAGAGGTGTTACACCTCTGCATAGAGGGGGAGAGAGTTTGTGTTGATGGCGGCGAAGTTGGTGGTGTAGATCGTCGTCACGATGGTTGCCCCGGCGGGGCTCCAACGCCACTGGAGAGCCCTCTCCTCCTTCTTCCTTGGCCTACCCCCTAGATGGGAGGAGAGTTCCCCCTATGGTCCATAGCCGCCATGGCGGCGGAGGGGTAGGAGCCCCTCCGAGATTTGATTTCACTCTCTCTGTTCTCTTCTGCGTGTTCCTCTTTTCTCGCCCTTCACCATTTCTTAAATTCCCGGAGATCTGTAACTCTGATCGGGCTGAAATTTTAACACGAGTTTCTTCCGGCTATTATCTTTCTCGAAGCGAAAGAAGGGCACCAACCACCTTACAGGGGCACCACAAGCCTGCCAGACACGCCAGGGGTAGGGGTGCGTGCCCATTAGGCTTGTGGGCTCTTCGGGCATCTTCTCGCGTTGATTCTTTTTCCCCAAAACCACATGTATTCCAAAACAATTCTGCGTAAATTTTTATCGTATTTGGACTTCGTTTGATATGGATATTCTGCGAACAAAAAATATTCAACAAACAGGAACTGGCACTGGATCAATATGTTAGTCCCAAAAATAATATAAGTTGTTGCCAAAAGTACATGTGTAAGGGCATATTTATCACTCGGTAATTTTGGTGATTGATGACAATGCTTTTGTGGACTAATCATGTGCATTGAGCATTTCACATATATCATGTCTAAACACAAGACTATTTGGTGCCCCTCGAAGACTATTGAAGACAACGCTTCTCTACGATTCTTTTTGGTGGATTTGAGTCGTAAGCAAGCCATACTATTAAGAGGGGGTGTCGGTGTCAAAACCGGCGAATCTAGGGTAGGGGGTCCCGAACTGTGCGTCTAAGGCTAATGGTAACAGGAGGCTGGGGACACGATGTTTACCCAGGTTCGGGCCCTCTCGATGGAGGTAATACCCTACTTCCTGCTTGATTGATCTTGATGATATAAGTATTACAAGAGTTGATCTACCACGAGATCAGAGAGGCTAAACCCTAGAAGCTAGCCTATGGTATGATTGTTGTTATTGTTGTTGTGTCCTACGGACTAAACCCTCTGGTTTATATAGACACCGGAGGGGGCTAGGGTTACACAGAGTCGGTTTACAGAGAAGGAGATCTACATCCGAATCGCCAAGCTTGCCTTCCACGCCAAGGAGAGTCCCATCCGGATACGGGACGAAGTCTTCAATCTTATATCTTTATAGTCCAACAGTCCGACTGTCTGGATACCCCCTTATCCAGGACTCCCTCAGTAGCCCCTGAACCAGGCTTCAATGACGATGAGTCCGGGCGTAGATTGTCTTCGGCATTGCGAGGCGGGTTCCATCTCCGAATACTCAAGATAAATTCCAAACACAAGGACCG